ACTCTTTAAAGAATTTTGTGATCGAATGAGTTCAGCGACGGATAGATCTAATTCTGTTGGATCCTTAACCGATTGATTATGATACATCAAAGAGTTAGGGCTTTGAAAAAGTTTGGAATCCACTGAAGTTTCAGGGAAATAAAATGATAAATGTTTAATATTCCTTGTAGTTTTGGACATTTGTCTAAACAATTTTGGTAACGTTGTAAAGTACATTTCATGTGAATATCCATGTCCTAAGAATTCCAATGTATTGATTAATGATAAATCTGAATAACATAACTTTTCCAAGAAATCCGCACGTGAGAATTCACTATTATTAACATATTTAAATTTTTTTAATGAGGAAGAATGATTAATTATTAAGTCCATCATCATAGAATCCAAGGTTTTTTGAGCACGTGAGATATGCCACCCTTTATTAGCGAAATAAAAATTATTTCTAACCCATTCCTTCATCGCAACGGTGTAGTTAACTATGTTAAAAACTTCCAAATATTTCGGATAATATAATAATGGACTTGCAGTATGCAAAGGTATCATTAACCCTAAGCTCTTCAAGAATTTTTTATTCTTTACACTCAGGAGAGAGACATACGTATTAATTACTTTTGGAGTGTATTTCAGTGAGTAGCGTTTAAATGGTGCGCTCCATAATATTGGTGCGATTAAACTACACCACAATCGGTTAACTCTCATGCATGAGACGAGTGTTCTTCGATCGTCCTTTAAGTATGAAAATACTTCAAGTAAACAGTCGGGTATGAGAGATACACATGTGTTTGATCGTGTTGAAAAACTTTTAGGTGATATTATCAATGCAAATAAGCAAATCAATAACTCTGTCACTTTTTTTGGATCTATGAGAAAGTGTTGAAGTGAAAGGATGTATTTATCAATACTTCGTATGCATAAGGGAAAGAAACAAAAAGTGAAACTTACTCAAATCCATCATTGAGAAACCAATATGATATTTCAAAGAGAAAAAAGAGAGAGAACAATTTTTCAAGGAGGTATTTTTTTATCGTTATAAATAAATAAATAAATTTTTTTTTAAATAAAAAAAATCTAACCAAAAAAAAAAAAAAAAAAACAAAAAAAAGGTTCTAAAATTCTCAGAAATAAAGTTCGAAAAGGTAAACATAAAAAAAGGGTAAAAAATAAAAAAAAAAATGACAACAAATGAAGGGAAAGACTTTCTATTTCCGAAAAACCGGAATAAAATTTCGTGTTATTTTAATATATATAAAAAAAAAGATGTCAAAATAAGTTAAATAAGCAGCATATGACAGAAAAAAAGGCAGTGTAACCAGCCAAAGTTATCGCCAACCGTGCACTTGACGGGTTATTAACCTAGTATACTATCAAGTTGTGCGGCAACGTGGGCAACGTGACAAGTTTATTTGTCAATCTGTTTTACCTTTTATACTGCGAATCATGTGATAATGTCTAGGTATTGTCGATAATTTACCCACGTTTATTTTTTTCAAGAAAATTAACTTCATAGACTCTCGACAATGGAATATATTTTGTTGTGGACAGTCCAAGTAAAATTCAATTATGACGGGACAAAAGCCTCGGATTTTAATTTTAGTCTCTAGTCACAACTTCGGTATATAGAAATGTACAATCTATCAACCAAGTGTATTTGACTAAATCTTTAATACAATCAACTCTTCCATTATGAAAATTATCTCCAAAAAGAGCCTTATTATCATCTAGAAAAATAGGTAATTACCTTTATAAAATTTTAGAGAATTTCATCGATCTGAAAAATATAGTGGTATTGTTGGCTAAATATTCCCCGTTTACTAATTTTTCGCCCGTGATACTAGTCATAGATATTTTACTGGAGTTACTATCGGAGTTGAATTTCCGGAAAATATCAATATTTCGTAATACCTTAGATATATCATCTGAAAATCGTACTGGTAATTTTAGAATATAATTTACTAATAAATTATTAACGAATAATGTAAAAGATATTAATTAAAAGTTTTAACTATTCATGGTTAAAAAAAGTCTAGTTAAAAACATCCTGAAAACGGCATTCACAAATATTGGTTATTATTATTATTAGGACGTAAATAATTTGAGGAATAATTTCGAATTTGTAGTATTTTTATATCGAAATTTTTCATTGTTTTTCTGTAATTTATTAAAATAAAATTTTTTTAAATTTCTATATTTTTAGATGTTTTTAGATGTAAAATATGGATTATTTAAAAGATCAGGGCAATATTAAATTGTAAATTTTTTTATATAGTGAAAGGAAAAAAAAAAAAAAATGATTACTAAAAAAGTTTATTTTTATTATCATGGGCGTTAGAATCCCTCAAAAATAAGCATCCCCATATTTATATATCCTTTGAAATTAAGCACCCCGAACATTATATTAAATTTTATTAAATTTATATAAAAGATTATCGTATTTACAAATAAAAGGGGAAAAACAAGTTATATTACCTACTCATCGCTAATATTTTCTTTATCAGAATTACCATCACTAATATTTAAATCATCTAATGAATCGGATATATGACAAGTTTTAAAGAATTTATAATTATTTTCGTCAGAAACTTGCTCTCATGATCGTTTTACCCATCCGCATATATCAACCAAGCTTAGCACGTCAAAGATTACCTTTAGCAGTTTGACCGGCATCACCACTGGTCATCCACAAATACTATTCTTTTCTAAGATTGTCTTTAAAAGGTTTATTTAAGCCACCTAAAATGACCGCTAAGTCATAGCCATTTTCTTTAAACTTTCTCTTAACTGAATCTTTTAAATGGCCTTTAAAAGAATCATATGCCATTAACATTGGTGTTTCAGATCTATTATTATTCTCATTACCAAGATAAATATATTAATTCAGAATCATCCGTAATCTGATGAACGAATATCTGATCTGAACGGATTATCCGTTATTTCAATTTATTAGAAAAGACAAATTACTTAATGTTGTCTTTATTAACATTGTCTATGTAATTCATGTGAAGTTCAGTTATTATATCACACAATTTACACAAATATATGATATTCAAATAATAAAAAATCATTATATAAAAATTTTCAGACTAAAAACGTTTTTTTGCTGGAAATCTTATCTTGACTTTTTCACGAATTTAATACGGAAGTGTTAAATTCTTTGGATTTGATACTTTCAATATTAAGCTCATAAGAAAATGGTGTCAAAATTCTTTGAGTTTAATATCATTGATATTAAATTCATAAGAATGACATCGGAGGTGTTAATTTCATTAATTTTGACACCTTCGACATCAAATTCGTAAGAAAATAGCGTTAGAAGTGTTGAATTATTTTGCATTTAATGCTTCCAATATCAATTCAATGAATTTAACAAATTTAACATCGGAGGTACCAAATTCAAAATTTTAACACCTTTGACGCTACTTTCTTATAAATTTGATGTCAAAAGTGTGAATTCAAAAAATTTAACTTTCCCAAAAGAAAATTTTAATTTTTATTGTAAAAAATAAGTGTTTTTTTTAGCAAATTGTTAAAAAAATTTTTATTAATATTTTATTTTAGCAAAATGTCAAATTTTTTTTAATATTTTAGTAGGATATTTTCTGACATAATTTTATTATGAATTTAACAAATTTAATGCAAATGGACCATTTAGATTAAAATGACCTGACTGTCACACCTATTCATAATATAAATCAGTACAGGTGATAATTGAGACGTGATGATTAATGCAGTGAAATTATATGTACACTAATCAAAAACATCAAGAAAACCTTTTTACGTAAAATTTATAAGAAATTTTTACGCAGTTTATGGATTATACACACAGTCTATGTAATGTTTACATCGAAATTACATCTTCCTGTATATTTTATATAAAATTTTTCATAAAATTTATATAGAACTGTAACTATTACGCGAAATTTTAAGACTGTAAATTTCCAGAAAAAAATGCAAATATTATGTTAGTTTCTATGCATAAATCTTAAATTACGTAAAAAATACGGTTTTTTATTTTGCTGATGAATCCATTGCATCACATTAAAGAATTTAACATCTCTAATATCATTTTCTTATGAATTTAATGTCAGAGGCAACAAATTTAATACATTTTATTATGGAATAAAGAATTTAATACCTCTAACGCTATTTTCTTACTGTCATATGTATTTTATTATTTTTTAGTAATAATATATAATAAAACTTGATTTATAACTTTATTTGAATACATTGTTAACAACTATACATGAGGATTTTAAGATTTAAAAATTGAATCTAAATGCTTACCATTTCATTTTAAAAATATCAACTCTCTAAACAATCTAGGACACATTCTCATTCTCTTTATAGTTAATAAATTGCCTGCATTGGAAAATAACCTTTCACTTGCAGTTGAATATACATAAACAGCTAAATATTTTTTAGCAAAAAGATTTAAAATAGGAAACTTTTCTTTTTACTTACTGTATATCACTATACAAATGGACTAACTTCTAAATCAATCTCTTCTAATTGTAAATAAATACTAACTTTATCATTTATACGAAAAACCTTTTTCTTCAAAATTTACAAAAACTGTAAATATTTTTTTACTTTTATTCTTACTTACACTTATTAATGATAAGGCCGTTACAATTTAAAAATCTGTTTAACGTCATCCCCACCCTTTTAGAAACCATTTTAACACCCCTTGTAAAAAATCCCCCCCTTCATTTAATTAATTTAGTCTCGTTATACAAAAAATTTCCCCTTTTTTAATTTAATCATTATACGGAATTTCCTTTCATTTTAGTTAAATAAATAGTATAAACTGCAGAATTGTATAAATTGTAAATTGTAAGTTGATTTATTTCTAAAAAAAGTTATTGAAAATGACACCTCCTTAAACTTTATTTAAAAATATTCTTTGATATAAAAAAAATGTTTCTCGTATCTTAAATATTTGTCAAAAACACTGGAATAGAAACAAAAAACTTTGTGATTTTTTTTTGAGAAGTACTTTTATAATGAAATTATTTTTATTGGTGAGCGTTATCCAAAATGGTCGCAATATTGTTAAAGAGGCAGCAAATAGTATTGATGATAATGGAACTTTTGCAGACTTACTTAAAGAAGTATTGAATAGTGCAAATTTACCAGATATGAATGTTATGGTAGATTTTCAATGTATTAATTCTCCTATTTGGCATGTAATATCTAAAGGTATTGAAGAAGACTTGGCTATGTGTCAGCCGCTAAAAATTCATCATATTTGATTTATATATTCATCTCAATTTAATAATCAATCAGATAATAGATAAAATACAACTAACCCATTTACGATTATGATGGAAAATAGTAAAAAAATTCAACTACCAGCAGTACGTGAAAACACAAATAATATTAACAAACTATATAATCATTTACTTGATATATTACGTTCCAAAGATTTGGGTTGGCATATAGTATCTACATCTAATATTGGTAAATCATTTGTAGATAGGTTAACAAATCTTTTATGGTATATTGACCTACATCATGCAAAACTTTGATCTCGCGATTGCATTATGCCTAACTTTGTTCAAAATCTTCTAGAATATATGGCCAATAGCAAGTATAATACATTTTATGACAGTTCACATCATAAAAAAGAAGATCTTAAATGAAATATATTAGAAAATCATATTAATTCGATAAAAAATTCAATATTACAACCATGGATACGTAATGAGTAGTGGCGAATTTTTATTAGTGATATTGCAAAACTTTATGATTCAATAGAAAAATATACTAAATATTTAGAAAATGTAAATCAACGAATGCATTATATACATGCTAGTTTATTACCTGTACGCAATGGGATAGACAATATTAAAGTAGAAGATATTAAAGCCAGTCCAACTATTGCTTCCGAATATGAAGAATTTAATCATTTAATGCAAGAAACTGAACTTTATGTACCAGTTTGTCTAAATGAATTTATTCCTAAAAACAAAATTGAACAATTTGACTTTTTTGACAAGTTTCAGTTAAAGGTTAATTATACTATCTATAGGTATTATCATGAAAATTATTTAGGAATACTTAATTTCATTTGGCGATGTCCAGAAGTAATTGAAGATATTAATCGAACAAAAGAATCACAAGTATTATTACAAATTTATGAACAATTCCAAAATTTTCAACACGACAAATGAGAAAAAATGTAATTGATAAGGTATTATATAAATAATTTAATTTATAATGATAATTATTAATTATAAATACTCATAATACTTTAATAATTATATAATTTTAGTATTCTCTTTTTACCAAACTTTCTCCAACTATTTTATGTACTATGTATCAAGATTTTACGAGAGACGCAATTTCTTCTTCAACATATATAAATGATGAAATGAAAGATCGTATTAAACTAATGTTAGATATATAGGATCCAGATATAATAATTGATCTTCGAGTTAACAATGGCATAAGCGGTACAAATTTTAATATTTTTTGGAATAAACTATCTGCATATTTTAATGAGGTAAGTATTAAATAACATTTTTTTTATTTTATAATATTTCAATTTTTAAAAAATACAAATTAATATCTAATTTTTTTAAATTAGGTTATACCTAGTATTCATGATCGAAGACATAATGATATGATATATATGCTAGTTGCTATATCAATAAGCAACTTGAAAGAAATCATAATTAAAAGATTGCAAGAAATAAAAACACTAGAAGAATTTGAAATGATAAAAATTCCAAGTGACGAATGGATACGACTTCAGTTTTGGCCAAAAAATGCATATCACAATTCTGCAATGCAATATATAGGAACATTTAGAATTAAATATATTGTTCAGACAAGATTATTACGAAAACATCATATAGATGTTCACTATTGTTTAGCATTATTTCGGTATATGCGACTATTTGCAATACGATTTCGCTTATATGTTTGTACAATATTTGCAGATGATAAACACAAAATTCCTATTGGGGAAAGAGTTGCAGTATCTACAGAAGTTCGTAATAAAAAAACTTTGAGTTCTATGGATGTTGGTTTATCAGCTTGCGATCATAATTTTACCAAATGTTCTATTACACCATCGGTATCATTAATTTGTGATGTACCTAAAAATATTTCAGAAAGTTTTTATTCTAGACAAGTTTATGTTTCATTTAAAGACTCTATTTTCAACCAAGTTCTGCTATCCGACATGCTACTGAATGGCTTTCTATAATGCAAAAACAATATTCAAACCTACCAGAAATGGCTCTTATTTATATAGATGGTGGAGTTGACCATCGAAATACATTTGGATCTGTTTAATTAGCATTGATTTGTCTTTTTTTACATGGTGATTTTGATTTTCTTACAGCATTAAGAACAGCACCTTATCATAGTTGGATGAATCCAGCAGAACGTGTTATGTCAGTATTAAATTTAGGTTTACAAAGTATGGCATTACAACGTAATGAAATGGATAATGAATTAGAGGGTGTTTTTAAATCTTTAAATACACTTGAAGAAATCTGTGAAGCAGCATCA